AGTTTTTGAATTTAATCATCCTGCATTTTTATTTATTTTCCCCTTGTTGGGAGGTAGTGGCGGAACTGGGTAAAATAAATGAGAGCGAATACCTTCCTTTGTTGTACACCTACCCCACTGCTTTTATTTTGTGTCGTGGAGCCAATACAGACCACTTTCCCTCTCATAATGCCTAATACCCAAAAAGTAATCTTCCTTAGTTATTATTATTATTATTATTTTATTTTATTGAATGAATCTTTCCTTTATTCATTGTATATAACTGGTATCCTCTGAATAAAAAACCTTCAAAGTCTTTTCTGAATTTTATTTATTTGTCATATTAAAAAATTGAACCCCATGCTTAAATTTCCACATATACTGTAGCAGCCGATATCCAAAATCAGTTTTCACATATACGGTAGCAACCTCTATCCAAAAGCAGTCTTACCAAGTCTGCAATTGGTGTCTTGGCGATGAAACAACCATTGACAAACAAAACTAAAAGAAAACAGGCATATAAACAGTGATTTTCACTGTTTATCCGCTCGCAAATTAAACATTGTAGATGCACTGTAGACGAGGATAGTATTTTTTATTTCACTGTTTTTTGGGCATGTGTATTCGAAGTTTACCTTATGTTTTATTTTGGATCCATAAATTTTAAAATGAAAATTTTATCTATGGGCTGTTTCACCCCTTCGCCTCCTACAGTAGGCAGCATGCCTGCCTCCTCTTCTTTTTCTTTTTTTGTTTTTTCTACCAATTTATGTTTTTTTATTATTGCTGAATTAGGTGTGAAAATTATAAAAAAACCAATTATTATATTTTTCACAAAAACTGACAACTATGAAATATATATATTTCTTCGAGAATCAAAAATATTTTTTTTTCAAGTTTGCATTGTTCATTTGGAATCTGGGCTCTTCTTTATATATTTATTTTCCCTTCCATTTTCTTTTTTTATTCCATTCCATCATTCCTTAAGTCCCATAGGCTCGATACTATAGAATCTAACCCACTTTCTCTATATCAGATTATATTATTTTTATTATTTAAAATTAATTTTTTTTATTTTGTCATTTTTTATAAAAATTCTCATTAAATTAAATTTTTATTCTTCTTTTTATGTAATTTTATTTGTTAATAAATATAATTTATTTTCTCTTATGTATGGATATTCAAATAAGTTTTTTTTAGTTGCTTATTTTTTTATATGATCAAATATTAAAAATTCTAAAAAATAAAATTCACATGTTTTATTTACTTATTTTGTATAATTAAATTTTATCAAAATCAATTTTGTAATTTTTTTATTACACTCTACTAATTTCAATATATTTTTTACAACTTATTTAAAAAAAAATCGATTTATGTTGCACGCTCTAATCCAATGAATACAATCACGATGTATAAAAAAATATGTATCAGAGTTATTGATTTTATTATAAATTAAATATGTATAATGCATTTACGCTCATAACACCAACTATTTGCTATTATTTTTTATATTTTATTTTTGAAATAAAATAATTAAAATAACATTTTAGAAGAACTCGCCTAATAATTCAAATATTACATTTTAAATTAATATATTTTTTGTGTGTGTGTGTATCAAATGTATATATTCTAAGAAAATAAATTCTTCTCATCAGTATTAAATAAAAATAAAAATAAATTATTTATTAATTTTTATACTTGGTTGTATATTAATTATTGCTTTATTTATTTGATATAATGTTATAAAAAATATTAAAATATTTTTTTAATTTTATATTTAGATTATTATGAATTTTTATCTAAGAACAAATGCATAAAAAAACAAATTATGTTTTTTTAACTAAAAATTTATTTAAAATAAAAAAATAGATGTAAAATTTTGATTAAAAAATATAAAATTAGATGATATTTTATTTTTAATTTAATATTTTTTATTGACTGATAATATGATACATATTATCAGATGGATATAAATATATTTAACTTATCACTAATGTAGAACATGAAACCAACTAGTTCTTGTCTTAAATATTATTACAATGCACTAGGTATGCATCATTCTCTCACATCAGTTTTAAAAGAACAACATGCATGCATGATATCTTCTCTCAGCATCATATAGTAGTAAAAAAAGAGAAGAGACACGGACTTCCAACCTAATTACAAAAAGTGAAATAAAGTTTCAAAAATCCAATGTAGGGGGTCCATTTATTCGAATTGTGACGTACTGTGATCAATCAAATAGATCAGTCGTTAGCACTGACAGAGAGAGAGAGAGAAGAGAGAAAGACTACAGATCTGACGGTCCTTCGCGTGGACTCCATCCGCCCAGATTCAATATTCTGTATAATGGAAAAAAGAAAAAAACGTGGATGGGTTGAGATCCACTGGGATTGTGATAGGGGATGAGGATGAAGGAAATCCCAAAGGAAGCTAGGGCCCTACTTGACAAGCGTTTACGAATGCCGTTGATGCCAAATTATTTCCCTGTCAATGGGTGTTGATTTTGTTGTCGTGGCCAAGACTTTTGTTATCTGTAATAATAGTAGTTATGAAAGTGATTGTAAAGATAATATTGGATTTTAAAATATTATAGTGTCAAATAATACTTAAAAACCCAAAAAAAATCATTTTTATCACTTCTGATTTTTTGGATTTTTGGATGTTCAAAACACGTTTCCATCAAACATTTTTTATGATTTTTTTATTTTTAAAATATTTAAAGTCAAAATATTCAAAATAATCATTTATTATTTAACCAAATGTAAAAAATCAATATAATTATCTAAAAACATTTTATGTATCCATAAAAATTCAAAACCAATACCACTTATTTCAAAATTAGAAGTATCTTCTTCAAACCAAACCGTCTTGAGTTTTTTTTTATGAGTTTTTTAAAAATACAAGAACTAAAACAAGTTCTCTAAACGACCAAAAAAATCAATCAAACCCATCTTCTCTCCCTCACCACCAGCCACCACTGCAGCCGTCTCTCATTGCCGCTGAGGGCTATCCAGTCAAAAACCACTAGACCTGAATAAGTGAGCCCGACCCGCTTCCTTCTTCTCCTTCGCCCGAACACCCACCTGTCGCCAAATTGAAAAGAAAAGAAGTGTAAAAAGGAAGAGGATAAAAAGTAATTAATCAGACCAAAAATCTCATTTTTTTCTAAAAAAAAAATTTAGAAGCGGAGGTATTTTGTAATTTTACAAGTCAGGGGGGGGGGGGGACATGATTGATAAATTGTTCACGTGTGGTTTAATTATTAAACCATGTTAATATCACGTACGAAAATTATATCCGAAACTTAATCAATGGAATTGACAAACTAGATTAACAAAATAATTATTATAATATTCGAATAGAAAAAAATTAAAATTAGAGTGTTAGCCAATATTTAACCGCTAACGCAAGGTACTGTCAAACCAACTAGCTTTAAATATTTCGATACCCAATCGATTTATAATATTTTATTAGCCAGTTGTTTTATCTTTTTCCTTTAAGTGCTCCCCATGACATCTTGAGATGGAGATGATGCACTCCCTATCCCTGGACAATGGATATTATTACACATGTATGTTCGAATTTTTTAGTTTAAGTATTTCAACTTCTTTTTTTATGTGAGTTTTTAATTTTTTTAATCAGATATTTTTACTAAATTCATATTATATGATTGTTAAATTGATATTTTAGCTTTTTGTCGTGCTTGTTATGAAAATACGAACATTTCATTTTATTTCTAATCAAGCTTTTAGATTTTTAATTTTTTATTTGAGTGTAAATATTTTTATTTGATTATCTGTAGTTTGAAAAAAAAATTCAATTAATGCTATTAATTTAAAAATCTAATTAATATTTTGTTCATAATCTTATGTAGACCAGATTTTGAAGAAGTTAAATAAAATTGAAAATTAAAACAAAAAAACATATAAAAAGCTATTCAAATTATATATAAAAAAACATAGTAATAAAAGATGTCAAAAAATAAATTTGTATTGATTGTAACTGACTAGGTATAAAATAGATAATTAATAATTAATAAATCAACAAAATAATCACAAAAATTGTAGAGTTTTGATTGAAATTAGTATGAAAATACATGCGTGTGCATGAGAGATGAAAGTGGAAGTTTATTGTATTGAGAGATTAAAATATATAAAAATCTATATACAGAAAATAAGTTCGTCCTATAACGAATTTGCTATTTTTTTACATTTTAAAATTAGTTGTAGAAGTTTGTTTGGTTTGTGAGAAAACAGATGAAATTTAGTAATTTGATTTTTTTGACAAATCATATTTTATTCTTATTTGTTGTTTATATTTTAAATTTAATTTAACTTCATAAGATTGCAAAATTGATAATTCTTAAATTTCAAAATTAACAGAAATCATTAATAAAATTTTAAAAAAGATATGTTCAAGTAAAAAAAATAAAAATACATGCCTTTAAATAGAAAAAACAAAAAAACACTTCACTAAAAAGAAAAGAATGTTTATACTCATATGATTAATATATCAGCATGCTAATATATCAACTCAACAGTAATGTAATCAATCTAATAAAAAAATTGATTAAAAAATAAAAATTTATATATTTTAAATAAAAATAAAAATTAAAACATTTCTATTATTTAAATAAAAAATTAAAATTAAAACATTTAGAATATAAAATTTTGAAAATTTTGCACCCTGAATATGTAATAATCTCATCGACTATATCCACCACAAACGTGTTGCCGACACAATGAACCAAGAGGCAACACGTCCCCAACACTGTTAGGGTTGCTTGGATGACCGATAACTCGGAACTGATTAGACAGGCAGAGCTTTTACAACCACTTGTACAACGAATCAATTCCATTAAATATACGCAACTACCGTTCTCCCTTCTCTAAATCATTACACTTTATATATGTATCAATATCTACACCTCTACAGTCTATCCAATTATCCAAACAAAGAACATTGTCTGCAATTCTCTCTTGAATCTCACTACCTTTTCCTGGCTAATAATATTGTCCATGGATTCAGTTCCTAAGGTCGACAAACCAACTGAGCATGACCGCCAACCCACTACCTCTGAGCTTTTCTCGAGTGCCAAGGTAGTGGCTGGGGCAGCTCAAGCCTCATTCGGAAATGAAAAGGACAAGGTAGACAAAGTCAAAGCTGCTGGTGCTGCAGAAGATCTTCTTCAAGCTGCCTCTAAATATGGAAAGCTAGAAGAGAAAGGTTTGGGCCAGTATGTAGATAAGGCTGAGACTTATCTCCACCAGTACCACTCTAATTCCCAGCCATCCACCACCTCCACCACCACCACCGCCGCCCCCAGCACCACTGGTTCTGGCCACACAGCCCCTGTTGACAAAAAAGAATCGTCAGCCCATCCGACTGGTGGTGATGATGACAAGTCTGGAAGTGGGCTCGGGGGATCTGTCAAGTCATTGGCCCAAGGGTTCTTCAAGTAAACTTGATAATATATATATATCTTATAATTAAGTTTGTGCCAATAAATTAATGTGTGTAGTGCTCCATCGCTTTTAATTTCCATCCTAATCCTTCATGTATGTTATATGTACTAATGTTTAATTACTTTTGGAGCTTAATTATATTTACTCCATGTATCTGCTTACTCTTTAATTTAATGTGCTCGTTTTATTCTGGTTTTTGTTTGGAGATTAATTTCCGTCCCCCCGTGTCGTCCGGGTTTTCGGCGTCGCAGATTGATTTTATATTTAAGAAAATTTATTTACTTTTTTAATTTTATTGAGTTCAAATATTGGATCTGGAGAATTTATTAAATTTATTTCCATATATATAATTGATAGCCGGATGTCGATTGACGGGTAAATTAATTAAAAATTTCTTTACTGTTAACCAAAACGAAAAAAAAAAAAAACAATTTCCTTACGACGGCCAATTCGTTTAGAATTTCAGATGCAAGAAAATCGCATGATCTGGTGAGCTATACTTGGTAACATGACGGAAGAGTTTTTGTTTCAATTTTATCATTGAACTATTTATACTTTTTAATTAAATACTTCTGTTAGAATCATTAAAAAAAAACTTTAAATTTCCTACCAAATTATATGACTTCTTTTATCAAAATACAATACATTTTATGATGAAATAAATGTCTTTAAAATGGATAAAAACTCTAAATTGAGATTTGAGAGTAAAATTAATATAAAAAAATTGTCTGATAGTAATATTAAGACTATTTATATGGTTGATAATATTCACGAGCTTAATTTGTACATCAATAAACGACTCCAAAGCTTTCCGTTCCGCTTCGCGACAATTATTTCTTTTTCGATTTGTTGATATATTTGTTTCTTCTTTCTCTTTGCGTCAATAACACATGACTAACTTAAAGACACGTGGGGCTTATCCAATTTTACCAAATAAAGAGCCTAAAGCTATCATATGAAAGGAATGTGTTGGTTTAGATTTTTCTAGGTCGAAAAAAATGGAAATTCTAGAGGTTGATTAATATACACGAATTACATTAGCTTGGATGTGGCAACAAATTGAATTTGATTTTGCTAGAAGCCAAGGGAGAAGTAGGTTGTCTCGAATTTTCATAATAATAATAAAACTCGCAAATTGTCAAATTATAAGAAAATTAATTACGTGGCAGTTTCTTAATTTATGATATGGTGAAACATATTATAACTAGTATCATATTTGGTGAACAACAACCTTTACATTTCTTGTCTCTCCGAAAATTCTACCGTTTGTTTTTGTTTGCATTAGACTTGTATTTAAGACCTGTTCGTTTTTTAATTAATTAATCAGGGATCATTCATTATTTATAACATAATTTTTTCCTTTTTGAATCTTACTAGTTGAGAAAGCGAAGGGTTTGAAGTACCAATGGTTTTATGATATATATATATAATCGGTTATAATTTTTTTTGCTTTCTTTTTTTATGATGGCAAAATATTATGGATTGAATGCGTTTTTGATTGTTTTTCCTTACTGATCATTGCTTACGTCAAACTTCTCTTCGTGTCAAAATATTAGCGAGACTTGAAAGGGTCTATTAGGGGGAGTTAATTGTTACTTGTTTAACAGGTCTTCCTTTCACAATCATCGTTCGTGCAAGTTAACGATGTAAAGATGACAGATTGAGCTGATTTTTATAATTTTTTAAAGATCGGGACTGATTTGTAGTTATCCGCTTAAATTATCTTAAAAAAAAATCCTTCAATATCGTGATCCGCACGCAAAAAATCTTCCGATTCCAAGTTTTTGGTCAGCTACAAATCGGAAAATCATAACACAATCTGACCGAGTATACGACTCTTTTGATCTCCATTAAAGTTCGTACTTTTTTTCTTTTTTTTCCTTCTAGTCCTCGAAACAAGATCTTTTGCTTCAGTTGTTGCATATTTTTGCTTCAATTTCTAAAACATCATGTGTTATTTGAAATAAAATAGAAATAAAATTAGGAGAATAAAAATAAAAATTTTATTTTTTGTTTTAACCGTTTAGCCAAGAGAAATGAAATAAAAATAGAAAGAGCGAGAATAACAATAAAAAAATTAAAATAAATTTTTATTAAAATAATAATATATTATTTTTATTTATTGTTTATTAATTTTTTCTATCACAGTAAACATCATTATCACCAATATCATTAAAAGTATCACCAATATTATTATTTTTATTATCGTTATAATTAATAAAATTATTTTTAATTATTTTTATTTATATTAAAAAATTTAAATTTTATTTTGATTCTTTATTAACATTCTAAATACGATATAAAAATGCAAAAATCATTTTTTTTTAATTCAAATTTATGTTTCAAACAACAATTCAAAGTAAAAGAAAAAATAGGTATAGCATAAACTATATATAGAAGCAACTTCTAAGTTTGCTTTCGAACTGGGTCAAAGATGCAAATTAAAATAAGGAAATCCCAAGTAATAATCGCTTGTAAATTAGATAGCCTAACCTCCGAATCTCTTGGGTAGGCACGACGCAGTTTGAATTTCTTTTTTATTTTTTCTTTCGATTTTTTATAACGTTCAACAATAGCCAACAAGTGAAGGAGAGAGAGAGGAGGATAATTTCTTCCTCCTTTCGATCTCTCGTCCACTCCAAATTCCACTTGCTAAAAGGTAATTTCGCTTCTATTTCCCTCCTTCAAAAAAAAAAAAAAAAAAAACCATCACAATTCAATGATACAGTACCCAATTTCTATGGAAAATTTCCTGATTTTTGCCAATTTTATTACATCCTTGCATTTATACACATTGTCATTTTGAGGTTCTTTGCTAAAATGTAAATTCATGTTAGGGATTTTGTTGTTCATGATGACAAAGAAATTTACATTAAATATGAACTTATGATATTCGTAATAATTTGATCAATGTAGACAAATTGGATATATGCACTTATTTTGATGGGAGTGATTTCAAGTAAATTATTTATTTATTCGAATTGGACTTGGTTATTTAAACTGTGGGCAAGTTATATGTTGTGTTTGTTGATGGTATCAGGAGGACAATGTAGGTGAGTTCTGCAGAAATTATGCTTTGAGTTCGAGAGAAACTTTTGTAAAGATAGAAGCTTTATTTATGATTTTTGGCCTCAACTTGGTTCAAGAGTTTAACTTTCATTCGTTCACCTTAATGAAAGCATGTGGACAAATGCTTACTTGATGGTATATCTTGCTAAGAAAGTTTTTTTTTCTTTTTCATTTTCAGATTTCATTTTTGGAACAAAAGCTATAGATTAATGGCAGAAGAGGAAATGTTTTAACACTCTGGATCATTACTAAGTGGGTTTTTCACTGGATAAATGGCTCGATCTCTGTAATGTTAGAGGTTAGTGCCATTTATTTTTCTTTTTTGGTCCGTGATGATGTGGAGTTTTGCTTCCAATGCCCTCAGTTCCATTGGACTGAAGAAAAGCTCAAGAGAGGCAACTCGGGCTAATTTAGAGTGCTCGGACGATGAGGTTTGTTCAAATGCTAGTGGGGAAGAAGGACTTGAATGCCCGATATGCTGGGAATCTTTCAACATTGTTGAGAATGTACCTTATGTCTTATGGTGTGGACATTCCCTCTGCGAAAATTGTGTCTTGGGGCTTCAGTGTGCTGTATTGGGATTCTCTATGCAAAAAATAAGGATTCCATTCTTTGTTTCCTGCCCCTGGTGTCAGTTGTTGTCATTCCGACTAGTCTATCAAGGGAATCTGAAGTTCCCTCGCAAGAATTTCTTTGTTCTCTGGATGATTGAGAGATTGAACGGTGAAAGGGCAACGTTTAGTTCCTCCTTGTGCAGTAATGACAATCAACCAATTTGGTTTCCAAAAGGAAATTTAATTTTTGGACACCAATTTAGCAACAGTAGCTTCAGGAGGGCTTCATACAATCAGGGGCAGAGTCGGTTGGGCTTTAATGGAGATGGTGTTAGCAGCAATGGAGAGAGGAATCACTCTTCTCTTCATAAATCTCTGGATTGTTTTCTTGACTTCACGACAAAGTTCCCACTGGTCATCATATTTCTACTGATCGTTCTTTTTGTGCTACCTATCAGTGCTGTTGTCTTACTTCTTTACTTGTTAGTGACAGTTCTTTTTGCACTACCATCTTTCTTGGTATTGTACTTTGCATACCCCACTTTGGCTAGGCTGGTGAAAGAAATAACCTCTTGAGATGTTCTGTTGGTTCCTCATTTCAGACAATCTGAGAAATTTGTCGCCCTGACATTTCTCAGTCTGAACACTTCACTTGCATTTCAGTTGTAGTTCAATTAACATCTTGTCTGCTTCTAAAAATTCACTTCATTGCCTTTTATTTTAAACTGATGACTCCTTTTCCTAATAATTTGACTATTGGATCGGGAGCTTTTAGATTTTTAGAGTTTCTGTGATAGAGTGAAAATTTCAAAAGAGCCTGCAGTGACTGGACTTGTTTTCATGAATGGATTTTACATATCTGAGTTGCAGTTAATGTTCTTAAATCAAATGCTGTTGTTTTCCTCAAGTAGTGTCGTATGTCTTGAGCAAGCTCAACTTCTTTCACTGGCTGAATGTTTGGAGAAAACATTAGAATTTCCATAAATGCTCGACAGAAGCCTGATTATGGCTGGCTTGGTCGAAGAGTTGTTAAGATGTCTATTTTTTTCCTTCTTGACTCTGAGAGTGGTCATTTGTTATCACGATTATCGAGGTCATCTGTGATCGAATTTTTATCTTTTTAATGGTTTAAATATACTGGAGCGGATTTGGGAAAAATGCATCTTGTGAACGTTTTGATTTTTCGAATCGCTCTGTTGCATGTTAGCATATCTTTCACATGTCTGTCAAGTACAATAGCGGCATACTGCCCAATAATTTTCCTAGGCTGGTTGGAGTATTTTCTAGTTATATCTATTATTCCTTAACACATAGGGCAGGGATATTCTTTGCAGGGATGCATTGAGATTTGGAGGCATGAATTCGGTGCTAGTAGAATATCTGCTTCCTTCCGTTTATAAATTGAGGGCAGCCAATCAACTGTAGGGGGTATTGCTTACTAAACCCTCCCATATTCACTGATTCTTAACTGATGTTGCTTCAGTTTGTGAGGAACCGAAGAAAGGTCCTTGCTCCCATCCACTGGTATACTGAATCTCTAAGAATTACATGTGTCCTTTAATCTTTATGAAACATAAAATGACTATTTGGTTCAACTGTTTCCGTTTAACACTGGTTTGTTATTTTCACCAGTCTTGTTCAACTAATAAAAGAAAAACTGGACAAAGAGAGCGGTGTGTATCAGTTGGTAGCTGCAAACTACTTCTCGATTCAACCAAGCCTTTGACCTAAACAAATTAGAGTTAGCTACGGTGATACTTTCCTTCCATCCATTCTGTCTCTTTGAAATCAGATTTTTTAGCTACAATAACACTTATCAATAACTTGATCTGACTCCGCATCAAATTACTGTCCTTGCGATGTTTCTAAGCCTTTCATCTATCTGTTTCTCAGTAGTTTGTTTTATTTCCCTAAAAATTAAACAATAATGTCATGTCTGAGTTTTAACTTCCGGTATTTTCCACTTGAAATTCTGTTATTGGGCTGTATATGTTGCTCTTGTCCTTGAGCACGCTTGCTTGCAGGGACAAGGAATAGAAAAAAGGTAAGGAAAGAGAGGAAGGGGGATGGTCTAGATAATTGGTTGGTTTATTAACTATATCAGTTCAGTGTTGCTTCAAGTACGTATGAAATTTCAGGGAAGTTATATGCTCAGTAGAAGTTCATTGAGGGTTATGCTTCCCTTGCAGCTTAGATATTGCTCCTTCCTGCTTTCTCCATGAAAATCAGCATCACAAAAGAAAGAACAGGCTCTATTGATCACTATAATATCAGTAGTATTCTGTACATTTCTTTGCGATCAGTTCAAATCAAGATACAGACTGGTGTAACGATTTGTATATTTACATTTTGTAGTAACAGATTGCTGTTCTTTTTTGGAAACGATTAACTTCTTATAATTGGTGGATTCAAAAGCAGAAACATGTCCGAGGAAGCTTTCCTGTTTTTCTGATTGTATTTGCCTTTTCTTTTGCCTTGAACTCCTTATTTCTTTGCCTTTCTGCTGCCTTTGCTTTTGCTGCTCCTGCAATCTGATCGATATCAACGATCTCATCATGAAATTGTTTTAAGGCTTTTGACTGTATTTGCGCCAAGTCACTCTGCGGATCCAATAAATAGCTAAGCTCTTGAGAAAACAAAATTGAATTGGATTACAAAAATGTAAATGAAGCAAACCTCTGTTTTTTTAAGTCGATTTTTGGCCTTTTCCTTCTTCTTGTTCTCCCAGGAAAGTATTCTGGCATTCATCTCCTCATACCTGACAGCATCATATTGTGTTTGCTTGTAAATGAAAAATCAAAGCAAGTCTGGGCAAATCTTGGATGTTGTTATTTCCGTGTACTTGGCATGTATAATTTTTGTTAGGATGACTTTTTGGATTTTGCTTGTCGTTGATTTTATGGTTTAGTTATTTAGTAAAGCACTCAACATATGAATGACTTACCTCTTTTGGATTTTAGACAGTTCAGCTCTCTCCCAAGCATCTGCATCTGTCCCGTCTATTCCAGGTCTTGTTGAAACCTCCCTTTTGATTTTAGTTGGTGGGGTTAAAGGTTTTCTTGTAGGAGGCAGATCAGGCTTTGGCACCGTAATTTTTGGTTTTACAGTAGGCTCGTCAATTATAGGCTCTGCATTTTCAGCAAAGGATGGGGTTTTTTTCATTGATGGAGTAGACTTGTCAGTAAATGTTAGGGTCCTTTTAATCTCCGGGGCAGCAGTGGCAACCTTGCTTGTTGTCTTTTCTTTTGTAGCTGTTTCTGTCACCTTGCTATCTTGTCTTTCAAGACGTCTCATTGAACCTTCACCTGATTAGAGTTAGTTAGTTAATGCTTGTTCAAGGAATTACCTTTAGGAACTCGTATCTTAGACTAGTTTATTCTAATTTTTTTACCTGAAAATTGTTTACCTGTCCTTCCAGATTCTGGGATTAAATCTGTCAATTCTTGCCTTTTGCTCTTAGTCTGGGTCAATAAAGGCTCAGGGCGCTTGCCGATCTTTTTCTGTTCTGGGATGCTTGATGCGTACAATGATGTTATTGCATAAGCAGCAGCTGCCACAGCAGTTGCCTGCTCTATTCTATTGGAATCAGAATCTTGATTCATTTGTCCAGAAAATTGTCTCCGGAACCAGTTCTGAGGTCTCTTCTTTTCTGCAAAATCCAGCAATGAGATTCATTATAGTCTTTTCATCTATTTATTTTACTACATTCAACTGTCTCCTCTTGAATTGTCTCCTGTTGGTAATGATCTGCAGAACGGACATTTGAGGAACTCTATTTGCATATTCGCATGTAGAATACAAAAAACAGGTCAATCCTTCTAGTTAATGAAACTTTAAAGGAAATTCATAAAAATCGTAAAGAGGTACCTTCTTTGAAGGATGGAGTTTTAAGGGATGGAATTCTTCCGTCTCTGACGCTTCGAGGCTCTTGGGAGCTTTCCTGTCCAGAAAATCTCAACCTAACAGAAATACTGAGTCACGCTGGGGGTCCTTAAAGAACATTTTATGTTGAATGAGAGTAGTACGTTTACCTGACTTGCTTTAGCAGATTCTCCATTGCCGAGGAAAGGGCTGTTCTCGAATCTCAAGTTTTTAGAAAGTTGTCCAGGATGCATTCTTTATGCGTTTATTTGAAGGTGAAGCTTTTTATGCGTTTATTTTAAGGTGAAGCTTTAGAAAGAAGGTGGTTTGTTATAGATGGGCGTAGGCTGTGACTAGGTTATTGGGTTCAAGTAAAGTAGGATATGCTTTGCATTGTTTGGATTTGTCACGGAAAGTATTCTTTCCCTTGGTGCTAAATTTTTCAATGAACATGCATATGAAAAGTCTCCAATAAACAGGCTATTGCATTTTAATAGCCTTTTTACAGGTTTCTTTTTGCTGAAGAAGTGGATAAGAATCTTGATTGGAAACTTCAAATTAGGGACTGAAAAAGGTTTCTTTTGCTCTCCCTAAATTTCTTTTGAATTTATTCTTTTGACAGAGAGGAGCATATTTGAAGAACAATCAGACAACCCACGAAGTCAACTTATGAATCTAGCGTAAGAAAAACTGATGATTCTTGATTTAAACCTTAAGGCAGCTTCAAGAACTCTCCTGCCACGCATAAACAGTGGATTTGAATTCTCTGAACGGAACCAAGTCTTCCTTCAGCTAAAAGGTGCAGCCTTTTGAGACTAGCTCAGATAACTTCATCCAATTGCACAACTTAGGTTCGGCTTCACTATCATTTGACTTTCGAGACAAGAGATGGTTTAATTATATGGACGAGTTCAGAAAAGTTCGTTATGTCTTGTAGCCCGAGAGCAGAACTCAACCATTTCTTCCTAGGTCTGTTATATCCCCAGGAAAGAACAAAGAAGCCCAAATGGTTCGGATGTGTAAGCTGACCGGCCCACAAAGGGAGATGGACCCTTGTACAAGAGAATCTGTAGGACCCCGAGGCAGACATGAAGAAAGAAACCTGATGCCGAAGAAATTTAACACTTCCAATTCAGTTGGTGTGGCAAGCTAGCTCTTGCAGAGCTATGTGTCGAATTACACTTCGGTGAATGATATACACTACTACAACCTACCGAGAAGCAGCAACCGGCAATTAACTAAATTTAAGCTGTACCTAAACTGAAGGGAAGTATGATATCTTGATGAAGATTTGTGTCTTTTAACTTAGGAATTAATGATTGTTATCAATGTTGGTCTTTTTCTTAATCAGAGATGGGTTAAATTTACTTATTAATATTGACACATATATTTTAATATTATTGTTGTATTATGGGTATAATCAATCACTTTTTTCTTCTTTTTTTTAACACGGAGTTCATTTTTTATACATAGTTATATTGGATGTCTTCTGTAAAAAAAGAAAAAAAATGAAAAATCGAAATTTTCTTATCTACTAATAAGACTAATCTTATAATGAGTGCCTAAAGACACCCTTGGGGGAACCTACAAGAACTTTTTAGAGATTTTGGGATTTAACCAAGCTAACGCTAACATTACAATAAACAGCAATCTCTTCCTTGGAAATATACAATGTCAAGATCAGGACTCAATTTTGAAAGCGAAGGTTGACCTTAAATTCAACCTGGTGGCATAACTTAGTGTTGACATCTTTCACATTCAAAAATTCGCTTTTCTAAAGCGCCCTTTTATTTCAAATAAACCTGCAAGTTCCAACAAAGTTGATATGAAATTAAAAAAAAAAAAAAAAAAAGAAGAAGTTCCCTTTTATAAAGCTGTCTTTTATTTCAAATAAACTTGCAAGTTCCAACAAAGTTGTTATGATTTTTTTTTCAAAAAAAAAAAACTCCATTGTCCCTATTCTAGAATTTAAGAGTCTTTTAACTAGAGAGAGAGAGAGAGAGAGAGAGAGAGAGAGAGAGGTAAACTTCTAAGCACAGGCAGGGGCTTTGAAGTCTCTAATAGTAACATAGACTATTGAATCAGGGGCGACTCTGATCGGGGAAGAAGAATCAACAATCTTTGGATTCAGTGGAGGAATGTCTTGTGAACTTGTAAGCTGCAAAGGAGTTCCATTCAGCAGTACCACATCACTTTGGATGTTGCCATCTTTTGGGGTCAAATGATACTCTTCTCTCTTATTTGGACCATTAACAGTCATTTTATAACTGTGTGGGTACTTGTTCACGTCATTGATGACAGAAACATCAAAGGAAGTGGAGTTTGACATGTTAATGATGAGCATTGTAATGCCAGGCTGCATTGAAGAGAACAATTTTGTGTGCGTTAGTAAAAATATAATTAATTAAAAGCGAATTGCAACGACAAAAAATTTTGCAGTACCTTCTGCTTTGAACAATGAGTGTATGTTCGCAAATATGGGGAGCCAAAGTGACTGGTACCAAGCACAGTCTTTCCCATTAGGCGATGCCAGAGAAGTGCACTAATACAAGGCAATAAAATAAATACATCAACGTAAATAAATAAGAAGGAATTAATTAATACAAAACTCTTACTGCTATTCTTGTCAAAAAGAGTAACACAAACCCATAATAATCTGGATTTGGGATGAAGGATGTAGTGTTAAGGAGACCATAGTTTCCTCCAATGAGGGCTTGTCTGCAATAGACCTTGTGATTGAAGGTTGCTGTCATGCCTAGTTGATCCAAGTACCTGTTTTATTACAATCATGTAAAGAACAATAAAATTCCATTCAAATGCAGTTTTTAGGAGGTAAAATAAAAAAATAATAGGAGAGTCTCCTTACCAAAATCCATTAACAAAAGTATGAGAGACATCCTTGCCACCACTGTTATAGGCACCACCAGATTCCCCAACCCATGGTCCTGCCCATGGACCAAATTCCTTGATAACATTTTCAAGGTCTTTGAATGTCTCTGCTATTTCATCCAAGAAATATGGATCCTGAACCTTGTTGATCAGGGTTTTATCAACACCTGCATATTTGATTGTTACTTAACCATATCAGTATTACACACATTTACTAGGCTTTATTAATAGGAGTGGACTCGCTTTAGACAAAAACGGAAGGAGAAATAGAGTGTGAACTAATGCATGCCTGCACCAAGATTGTAAATATGGTGGGTAACTCCATCGACAACCTGTGGGCCTGAGACCTCAAGGAAGGTTTTAAACCACTCAGATTCGAAAAAACCAGCAGGGCCCAACAACTTAGGCTGTGTCTGGCGATCCGGGTACAAGTCTTTCAATATTTCTTTAAGTTGAACGATATCTTTAGCATACTGGTCAGCCTCCAGTCTTGCAGACACCCCAGATGCACACAACTCATTTCCTGAAAATAACGAGGACTTGGAATTAGTAAAACAAAAGAAACCTATGACTGTTGCATTCAACAAGTTGACAAAATATGGTCTTAGTTACCTAATTCATAGGAATCAATCTTGTATCCCTTTGATGCAGTATACTTCATAAAATCGCGGGCATTATTTGAGTTCCAATCACCAACCCAAAGAGTAGAATTGTCAGACTTTCTCTTCCCAAGAAGGGCATTCAAGCCAAATGTAATTTTGGCACTACAAGGGAAAAAAAAAACATTTGAGTTTTAGCTGATTCGATTTATTCCAGGGGTAAATAATTAGTGCGAAATGCTTGTGGTACAGACTTTGCTTGGCTAAACAAGGCGTTGAGTTGATCCCATCTATCCATTGGCAGAGAGCCTCTGCTGAATCCGAATAAACCATCACCTTGTTTCTTGAAGTGAGGGAATTTCTTAATCGCGTCGCCGACTTGATAAACCACCTGATCTTGCAATGATCCTCCAATTCTGATTCTCAGAGGATCAAATGCTGAAATTTTAACGAATAATCAGGACCTTTAACGCTAAGAGGTCGGTGAATACAAACAAAGCAATAGAAGGGCAAAAGCACTAAGAACATGAATCCTGCAATTTCGAAAGGCTTGCAGGAGCAGGATATATATGTGTTGGGATTTACAATAATAGGCCAGTGATTCCAAACAGAAGTAGTCATCAAATCAGGTAAAAGTTAAAAAGCTGAACTAGTTTGTTAGGTTATGCATTAGCAATGTTTTGGCAGAAGATGATTACGAAAATTTTCGTGAATTTTCTATGGCTTTTTCCAATTTTATTGAATGCTATTGATAGCAGCAAACAATCAGGACCTCTGACACTTAGAAAAATTATAAAAAACATATGAATTAAAGTCTTCTTTCAACTTCGAAAGACATGTAGAAGCAGCATTTATATATAAATACCAAGATTTCCAAACAACAATTATCGGTCGATAATAACAAATTATTTTAAACCTGATACAAAAAAAAAAAGAAGTAAACACAAATCAGTAATTACCGAATTATTAAGAAAAGCGAAAAGCCTTGGTTTTCGTGGATAAGTTGTATCATAATTTTTTCCACGTTCTATTGAGTCTTATGGCAAAACAAATAGATTATACATGTGTGAATATATTCACAAATCCACTTCAGCTTTTCCTTTTCTTTTTTCTTTTTTTATTCGATGCTATTCTAAATATGACTGCAAAAGTAACAGTTTTGTCTTGGAAAAAAAAAACTCTGACGCTGACAGCCAATCAACATGGAATACATAAGAAAATTTCAGTGCTTTTGTCCATTCAAAACTTACCCTTGATGGCATTAGCCAAAATCTTGTTGTTCAAGTCCTGCAAGTATCGCAAATTGAAGTCTGATTAGAATATTTGTTGGTAAAAAAAAAAAACAGAAAAAGAAAAAAGAAATAAAATACAAACCAGATTGAGGATGCCAGCCTTCTCCCATGGGCACTGGTTATAGTCACATTTTTCACTAGGCCACCAATCTAAAGTTGCACAAATAAAATTATCATCAGTTTTTGCAATGGAAGTTACCCCTTTAACAAAAACCTCCACAGCATCTTCTGCTGCATATAATGAAGAAAAACACGATGATGCAAGAATGAAAAACAGAGCAAGTCGTAGACCCTCCATTCTAATTCTATATTCGCTGTTAGAGCTTTTATTCGAATTAAATCAAGATAATGAGAGGAGATATCTTTATCTATATTTATATATGGAAGTAATTCTGTGACAAATTGAAAAAGGTGGAATTCTGTTAGGATGCTGATAATAACAAATCTGCACAACTTTAATTCTCTTCTCATTTTTGACACGCTATAACTCTATTATCTACTGCCTTATCTCAACTGAATTAGTCTCAGCTGACGCCACTAAAACAAGTGATCTATTTTCATTATTTATTTTGGTTTATTAAGAAAAACAGAATGCCTACTTAATTTATAGCAGACATGCCACACTAATGAAAAACTAAAAGAGAGGATAATTTCTTATGTTGTTTATTCAGGCTTTGTATAATTTTCTTGTATTTATTTCACGCAAGCCAAGAACTAGTGATGAAACTGCGCATGTTTATCTCTTGTTAATACGAGTATCCAATCATAACTGAAATCATCGTCCTGCGGTGATCTCTTCTAGTGAAATAATAATAATAATAATAATAACAGGAAATATGTAGATTTTATTTTCGATAAAATTAAGATGTCAATTCTCGTTGGTATAAAGCAAAATCCTATTTCCATCACATTCCTAATTCCAAAGCAAACCAATCTCGTACAGAGCAGCAGTTTAGGATATTAATCATCGATAAATACGAAGTACGTCCTTTGGGGAAGGTTAAAAAAAACGTAGATACATTTTTCAAATTTAGGTTAGAGCGGGAGAGAGGCCCAATACAAGAACAGCCCACTTTGGAGAGTGGGGATGGAGGAGACTGGGTTTGGGAGAGAAGCCCAATCCAAGAACATGCCATATGAAGGTTTGAGGGCAGACAGATTGTGTACGTATACAATATGGAGCAGAAGAGAGTGACAACTACGGGTGTAGGGTTGACCTCCTTAGCAGGGCAGTCTCCTTGTAAGGACGAAGAAAATAATCAGAGAATGCCTAGTTCAAACAGTTCCTCTGAAGAAGCGGTAGAGAGCATTTACTTGCCGTTTGCCTGTAGAGTGAAGGCCCAAAGGCTGAGGCTGCCGCTGAGAGACTGGTGCAGTTAGACCTTCGCAGTGGGGTTTAACTTCTATACTCTCTATTCTCAAATTTGTATGTGGCATCTGGCAAGCATGACAACGCCCAAAAAAAGAGAGAAGTTGACGAGAAATAGAGGGGTAGACGAGGCGCCTGGTTGCAGCTCAATCATGATGGCAAGGTTCATGAGTTTATTGCAGGAGGAGAGAAACCACACCAATTCATGGAAGAAGTTGGTATTGTATTGGAGAAGATGAACAAGCGGTTAAATTATTTGGGATGCCACATTGACTTTTCTTCAGTTCACAAGGCGTGACTTTCAGCCTTGAATGTCAAGTGCTCCCCTAACCTAATTTAGTGACAGTGGCATCAACTTCTTTCAGGTCTGTCAAAGTTTTTTATTCCACTTGTACTCGTTAACCAGTGAGGTTCATACCAGTGTAGCATTCACAAACAAACTTGCAAGATCATTGCGAAACTCATCAAGTTACATTCAATGAGCCACATACTTTACACCCCAACATACATTATACTTTTTGCCCAATCTTCATGACATCGATTTGCAAGGTTCATGCATAAACGCATGCCAAATTGAAATCAAGAAGGATTTTTATATTTAAATCCAGTGGTTCGCCTAGAAATCCTATATTGCTGAAACAATCAGGTTGAGTAAAACAAAGTCTTGGGACCATTTTTCCAAAATAAGTTCGCTCAAAAAAAAAAAAAAAAAAAAAAACAGAGAAGAAGAAGAAGAAGCGTTCGGATCAAGGGTGTGTCAACACTCGGCATGTTGCATAAAACAAAATCGGAGAGGCGTGATAATTAGTTCAAGCAAAATGACAGGTTTAACGTCCTCCGGTATCTCATAGCACATGCAGATACTGATAGACCCAGCTTCTCTTCATCCAGATTAGTTACAAAGAGAGATTTGACCCATTTGGGCTCTATAACCTTCCTTTTGTTATCCCTTATAAACAAACACAACGATCATTAATGGGAAAGTTTGAACTAGATATCAACTAAATTTCCCATTTCATTACAGAAACATGAACATAGCCTTGTAACGCCCAAAATAGTAAAGTATCCAAAAATAAAGAATAGGTTGACGCTTACACTAAACTACAAACTCGGTATCAGACACTTCAAGGACTTTGTGAACACCTATTGGGTTTACACCTGGCTTGAATGCATTTCCTTCAATATACCTGCAGAAAACGTTCAATTAGCTATACATCACTGAGATGCACATCAAGGAATTATCACTTTCCAAGGTCCAAGGAGGAGAAAGGAACTCACAACTCTTTTAAATACGGATGCTTATAGAAGGCATCAGGAATTCTCCCATTAAAATTGTTGTGATCCAGGTACCTGGGCCATGATGAAAGACATACATAAGAAACGAAAAAGAAATCCACAATTTAACAGTGCACAGATGCTTCCCTAACAATTGTATCCAACAATTTCACCAATTAAAAGGGAGGGGAGAAAGATAGGAGCGGTAAAGGAAAGAGTAAACATTTCACCAATTGCTAGCATAGAAACATGCCAGCAGAGCAATGCATTAGGTTTAAAGATGTTGAAACTGCACAGATATTCTTTGAGAGCAGAATAAGCTTATGTCGCCACACAATCATCTAAAGAAAGCATATGAATGCCAAAAAGGGAGTTGCAAGATGTGTAAAGCTTCTTTAGATGAAGGAGTTTGAGCAGGAATTCTCAAATTTTAGTTGGAAACAGTTCTGTGTATGACAAAAATACCTCAACCTCGATGATGTTTGAGATTATGTCCAAACACTTGTGAAAATGCAGTCTATATAATGCCCATTCATAGGCATTTTTTTTTCATGGGAATGCTGCTATAAGTGGCATGAGAAATCAAGTCTTTGTTTCTTCTTTTTATTCTTCTGTCAGTTTAAGTTGACATATTTTTGCAATTAAATCCATTGTGGTGTGGATTGCTTTTGAGAACAGGGCAAATGTAACTTTGACCTTATGAAAGCATTACCAACACTGGAAAAATGTAGTAACAGTAAAATTTTGAAGAAGAGACTTACAAGTAAGTCAATCTAGGAATATGAGCAAGTCCAACAGGTATTATTCCAGTCATTTTATTGTGCGATAGGTGCCTGAAACCAATATAGCAACCAATTACAATCATGGTAAAGCAATGGAATCTAGCTGCCTGAAGAAAGGAAAAACGAAAATGAAGAGAACTTACAAGATCTCCAAGTTGGTCAGGTTTGCAAGTTGTGCAGGGACTCCTCCAGTAAGATAATTATCATTTAAATAACTACATTTCAAGGTCGGAAATAGAATCATTTACGAAAGCTTCACCCTAAAATATCAGTGAAGCAAAAGTGAATTTGAGGATTCACAGAAACTTACAGGTTGCGGAGTGCAGGGAAGCAACCATCAGAACGTATTAGCTCCCTTATAGTACCCACCAAATGATTGTTGCCAACATCACTAAACATGAGATATTACAATTAGATTGCCAAAACTACAGTCCTAACAGTTAACATACAACAAAGACATGCTGAGAAGAGGATGGACTCTTACAAGTGCCGAAGATTTTTCAGTGTTCCCAATTCTGCAGGAATTCGCCCAGAAAAGCGATTCTCATGTAGATAAAGATAACGTAGCTCGGGAAGATTTGCAAGCTCCTTAGGGATTTCTCCTTTGAAAGCATTGAAGCTCAGATAACTGCAAAAAGGTACATGGAATGAACTTTCATAAAAAAGAATCCTTAACAACATCAAATTATACATTGGAAAAAAATAAATTACTCACAGATGAGTTAAGCTCTTCAGTTCACCGATTTCAGGAGGAATAACATCTTGTAGCTTATTCCACCTCAAATTACTGACACAACAAACAAAAGAAACCAACATAATGAATCACAATTTTCAACAAGCAAACCAAACTACTTCAAAGCTTAAAAATTCATCACAAGGTAAACTTAAAATAAGAAATAGAAAAGAGCTATTACAGTATCTTAAGACGCTTCAATCGCCCAATTTGCGGAGGAATAGGCCCAGTGAGCTTGTTATTATGAAGATCCCTGATATGTATATAAAAAACCCCATACAGAAAAAATCACGAAAACTTTCAATACATAAACTCTATCAAATCAAGAGACAGCCGGTCCTTATTTAAAATAGCAATACTTGTACTTTTAGTACATAAATTTAACAAAGCAGAAGCAAGGAATCAACAAAATCCAAAAAACTAAACCCAATCTTACAGTCTAGTAAGATCCAACAAATTGGTTACAGCAGTAGGAAATGGCCCCACAATTGACACTGCATACACTTCCCTGCAACCAATAAAAAACCACAGATTTACAAACTTCCTCAAAACCCTATTTCTATATTCGCAAAAACGATATAAAAGAAACAAAAAAAAAAAAAAAGCAAAAAATTTAAGGCTATCGGTAATTACAATTCAGTGACAACTCTATAATCTCCTGCAGTAGAGCAAGTGACACCGGACCACGGCGGATGGTCACCGTCGCCACAAGGATCGTCGCCGACCCAAGCGTATACCACTCTCCAACCTAGTGATGCCTTTATTTCATTCAATGCCTTCACTGCAAAAGAAAATAAATACTAAAAATCGTCAATTTGAAGAGTTATTTGATTTTTAGAGCGAATTTAAAGAGAGATCTAGAGAAATACCGTCGCGTTTAAGGGTTTTGGAGAGAGCGAGATGAATAAGAAGAGGGAAAATGAGGATGAGAGAGAGGGAGAATGATGGACGCGCCATTTTTAGGAAGAGGAGATTGGGGAAATCTAAGTGTGATAACTATAAATGATGTGAAGAAGAAATTGAAGTGAAGGATAAAAAAGAAAGAAAGATCTAAATATTATTATTATTACTTATTATTGCATGGTTATCTCGCAGGCTCGCTGGCTCGGTGCTTGGTCCTTCACTCAGCTTCAGCGAACGCGGAATGGGAGGCCTGCCTCGTCGGTGCCATCTTTTTTCTTTTCTTTTCTTTTTTTTTCTTATTTAAGTTAAAATGTAAACAATACTCCCTGAAGTTTGACCTAATAAGATTTAATCCCTCCTTTTCAAACTTTGGATTGACACCTCCTAAACTTTTAATTAGTTTGTGATTCATGAAATTTATAAATACTATGCGTTTCACTCAATATATTTAAAGTTATATTTTTATATCATTATGGGGAGTATTTTACATAACTTGAGAAATTTGCATAATTATAATATATTATTACGTCGTAACTTCTTAAGTGATATTTTTTTTCTTGATTCCATAGAGACATGAGTATTAGGAAGAAAATTGAAAAGAGAAAAAAATGATCTAAATCAGATAAAGTAAGGATTAAAAGTGTAATACATAATTTGAGAAATTTGTATAATTATAATATATTACTCTGTTGTAACTTTATAATTGATATTTTTTTCTTGATTCCATGGAGACATGAGTATTAGGAAGAAATAGAATTGAAGAGAGAAAAAAATTGGAGAATGGTCTAAATCAGATCAAGGATTAACAGTGTAATTGAAAGTTTGGAGAACAAGGAGTCTAATCCAAAAGCGAATAAAGTCCAAGGATGCTTTTAACATTCAGCTTTAATTTATTTATAAGTGGTTTTTTGTGCGATCGTAAGACGATGGCGTACCATCACCTCCTGGCTGCTATGTGGTGAAGAAATTACAAATTGATCCCTCTACTTTTGAGAAAAAAATAATTAATCATCTATTTCAAAAATTAATTATTTAACCTTTTTATCTGATCATATTTAACTTAATATTAATTTATTTAAAAAAGGTAATTTTTTTTATCAAGTTTTTAATCTTTTTACTCATTTTTTCTCATTTTTCTATTTCTTAAAAAATAAAATTAAAAAAGATTAAATTAAAAAAATAAATATATAAAACTTAAATAATTAGTTTTGAAATAATGATTAATTGAATCACTTCTCAAAACTAGAAGTACTGTTTGTTTTATTGAAAACAAAAAACATACAAAGTTGTTTTTTGTTTTTTTTTCTCAAGAAAGTTAACATTGTCTAATGTCTATAGGGTGTGAGTGAGAAATGCTAAAAAATAATAATGGATTCGATTTCAATAATTAAGCAAGCTATATTGTTAATCCAACCATATTCATCAATTTAATTTGTTAATGTGACCCTTATATTTCAAGATTTTTTTTTTTTTAATGTCAATCTTCCATCTACATACTTTCATTCAAGTCGAACATAAATTTTTTTTATTTTTAATGAATAGGATCAGGAAATTTTATTAAGAAGATAGAAGAGACTAGCAAGAGTACACATAGAAAAACTGGCATTAGTATGTTTTTTCAACGAAAAAATTGTCTACAAATCTTTTTGACTTTTAATGTTTTTGGCTCGCCCATTTAAAAATTGGAGATTTTTATTTGAATAAGAAATTGTACTGGCACAATTGTCCATTTACTGCTGCTTTCTTGTCGAACCTATGCGCTGAAAGTCAACTCGTTTAGCATGATAGGGTTGCTGTGGCTAAAATCTACCATGTGAAGTAAGGATATAAAAACAAATAAATAAAAAATACCAAAAGAGAACGCCTGAAGGTCCAATTACCAAACATGGATATTGGTCCAGCAATTTTTGGATGGCGTCTTGCTTGTGTCTAGATAGAAGAAAGGTGCGGTATGCTCCTGCGTTTTTTCATTCTTGTGATTTGAATATTCATCCAGTTCTTTCAAAAATCAAAGCAAACATCCAATACCAATTTCCATGCTACTTGTATGCCTAGATATATAACAGGCTGATCAGGTGCATAGCCAAATTAGAGTGCTAGCTCTTGTCTGTGATTTGTATATTCATTCAGAAACAGGTGAAATGCTACTGATCACGAATGCATCAATGACATAGCCGAGAGGGAGAAAAAACATTAAGCAGCAACTATGTGCAAACAGAATGAACACAGCAAAACTTGAAAGAGAGTACTGTACTTTATCAAATCGTTATCTTAGATTAATCAACTTAACTATACACCCTTGATATTAATTAGGATGATGGTTGCAGTCCCACACGGCCTCTACGAGAAGACAAATTTGCCCTTATCCTCTACCTTTTGTTGGCATTTCCTTGCAGCTCCAAATAAATGCAACTCATGGGTTTCTTTTGAAGTCCACCTCCCCCAAAATTCATCCACAGCTAAAATGTTCATGACATGTAGCCATTTCCATGCTGGTTTAAGATGCTTAATCCGTGCCCCAAAAATTGTCTGCCATCTCTCGCATTACACATTATAACAAGCTAGCCATCATCTAAAAGCAAAACCCAACTGTAATAAAAAAAACAAGCATGGAAATAGCAATAATCTCATAAGCTCGTGATATATTGTCTCCTGGAGCCTTGCTGTACGTATAACAGACCCGAAAGACGGCAAAGATACATAGCAGATCCTTTTCTGCATGCATAGTAGTCACTGTATATCCATTAACATATTATAACTTTCCTTCCAAGAATTCCATCGATGCTATCAGATGCTCAAGTAATAATTAAGCTGGCAAGCACGAGAAGAGCATACCGTAGAGACCAAGAAATACCGGAAGAAATGCAAAGAAAGATCATATATAATTCAAGATAGAAGAAAATCTTGGCAAAAAAAAATTGGAAGAAGCTTGCCCATATTTAGTAGCTAGTGCTAATACTGAATAAAGAAAAGATGGGAGTATTGAAAGTACTGGTTTAATATATAGGTACGGTGAGGAAAGCCGAGAACTCTGATTAATTATGAAGAGGGTTAGGCCCAGACGGTACTAGCCTCTTCTCTACACCATATCTTGGATCAATCTCACCACTACGTGGTGGTGGTGGCAGTGGTGGCCCGAGATGTGGCCGCCCGTTCATTCTTTGAAACTGAAGGCACCAAGAACGTGAAGTACTTCTATGAGAGAAAGAACCACAAGAATGGCGTTGACTCTTGAAGCGGTTGTGGGGGTTTCTTGAAGAGGTCTCAAGTGACGCATAGTTAGGGACTGTAGACGTGGCTGTTGATATTACGAAGAAGAGGAAGAGCAGCGTCAAGATTAGAAGGCGGTGACTAGACAAGGTGGTGGTTGAAGAAAGATGGTTCTTCATGGTTGAGAGAGAGGGGGATCAAAGAGAGACAGATTGTTGAAGAGATGGCTTTGAGAGAGATGAGAAAGAGAAGGAAGCTGGGAATAGAAGAAGAGGGTTTTAATGCGAAGCAAGAGACACATGAACGAATATAATTTTGCCAAATAACAAAGGGGGCCACTTTTTATGGAAGCCGTCACTCTCTTTCTCATCAAATGAGTCACGAATATATGTAGGTAAAGATACTGTAGGGTATAATAGCCCCGGAAACCCAAGATTTATATTTTCACTTAATAGATTATAGGGATAGCTGAAGAAAAAAACAACACAATAATTAAATTAATTTTGAATTTTTTATCAACCAAATACATTAATTTTTTTGTTAGTATATCAATTTTTATGAAAATTTTAATCAAAATTTTCGCCTAGTTTTCTGTCTAGTGATGATGTGACAGTTTTTAGAGAAGATTAAATAACTATATTGTTTTTTTCTTTTCTTTTCTCTTCTTAAATTGTTATTATTATTTAATTATTAATTAAAAAAGGATAGCAAACTCTTTTTTAATTAAGCTGTTTTACCTTTTTTCTTAATTAAGTTGTTTTGCTTTTTTAATTAATAATTAAACAATAATAACAATTTGGGAGGGAAAAAAATATAGTCATTTAGTTTTTTTTTTTTAATTACTACCACATAATTGATAGATAGAAAATTTGACGAAAAAACTTGATTATCATTCTCAAAAAAAATTGACATACTGAAATGAAAAGAATAAAAATTGATATATTTGATTGAAAAAAATTAAAATTAATGTGTTTATTATGTAGTTTTTTCTTTAATTAAAGACGAGTAGTTAAGTTTGTTGAAAAAAGAGAGGTTTAAATAGAATAATTTTGATAAAAGAAGAACTTTAGTTTGTATGTATGTTCAATTGGAGTCAAATATATTAAATTCATTTGAATAATTGAGCGTTGACAACTCTTTCTTTGTTCTTCGTTTTTTCTATTTCAGTGAAGTAGACGGATCTAATTTGATGATTAAATTGTTTAATAGTACTCCTCTATTATGTGGAGGGGCCACTTTTAGACATATCTCATTGCATCATGTCAATACTCATGTAGCTTGAAATTTAATACACAAGTTTTTTCTTTTCTTTTCTTTTTAATGACCACAGTTAACAAGACAGACAGGTTTGTGAGCAAATAATTAAAAATAAAATTCAGAAGAGTTAAATTGGGTAAATTGCAATCTTAAAAAGAAATGGGAAAAATAAAACTTCTGATAAACCGATAATCTTTTTTTGATTATGCTAGGTAAGAATATCTTTGGGAGTTTTTACCCAAATTTTAAGGTGTTCTAAAATTTTATTTACAAAAACGATATATTTTAAATCTTACTTGGTAAATGAAGGCTTTTCTGCCAAGTAATCTCAATTATCCATAATTATTTTTTAAATTTTAATAATCAATAAAATATAGTAAAAATTATGAAAGAAAAAACCATAATTGAAATGACTGTATATGCAGTGCTTTTTTTTTTAATCTGTCGTAAATCACTTTCTAAAAACCAATCCATTATATACATACATACATACATATATATATATATATATATATATATATAAACAAAATAAAACCGATCAATCTTTATAACTAGCTAACAAGATGAACATCGTCATTAAATTGTTG